CCCCCCCCACTTCCCTTGTCTGCCGGGTGTTTGGTACCCAGGCGGTGGTGTTGTCCTTCGTGATCTTCCTCTCTTTCCAACCCGAGGAGGTCGGAAACTTGGCCGTCTGCGCACCATTCACGCGTCCCGGCGGCTGCGTGAGCTTCGGGGAGTGGGTTCAGGTCGTGTTCTTCGGCGCCCCGATCCCCCCCATGTAGTATGTTTTTGGCATTTTTTTCTTTGGGGGGGGGTGGCCGCGTGTGGGCGCTGGGTTGGGGTCAGCCCTCGGCGGCACCCAGAACCCCGGTACATATCATGCTTGTGTTGAGGTGGGAGGAGGGAGAGGGTGCTGTGGCGGCTTGGGTCTCTCGGAGACGCTTCCGTCGCCCGTTCTCCTCGAAACGCAACCTCATACCGTATGACATGAGATAACACACCCCCTGGACCATTTTTCCAAGTTCGATAACGCCATGACCAAGAGGATGCATTAATGAAACAATTCATTTTCGGATAGCTCTCCACGAGACAGCTTCAACGCCACCGTTTTCGGCGCTGTGACTCTTCCTGTTGTTGATGAATCGAGATTTGAAAATCGGTCCAGAGGGTGCATTATCTTGTGTCATATACGATATGCGTACTTGAGTGTAGCGTGGCGGACGAGTGCCTTGTGGGCTTCGTGGAGAGGAATGGTCATCGCGTTGATCGGGTGGCGTGATCATACCCGCTGTCCCCTGTGCCTCTTGCGCGGTATTCGTGGAAATACTAAGCATGTGCTTGGCTATATGGTGGTCGTCGCCTCCGCATCGTGTGGGCGTGATTCATTTTTTTTCAAGGCTGCTGCTGCTGCTGCGGCTTTTTTTTTTTTGTCGAATTTTTGCGTCGTGTGCAATTCCCGTAGACAACACCCCCACGTCAGCCCCGGCGCCGAGAGACCGCAACCCCCTCCCCGTCTTTCCCCGTATCCGCTCCCCCTTTTTAGCATGGCGCAACCTGTCCATGGTCGCTTCCGTGGGCTAATTTTGGTCACGGGAGTCCATGGATTTTGTTGTCTGGTGGTCTCTTTTGTACGGGGTTCCATGTGTAGGCCGTGGTACGTTGGTGTGCTGGCTTTGTTCTTGTTCTGTTTCCATTTTTTCGCCATACACATGACGAAAGGGTGCTTCGTATTAGGAGGGTGGGGATGTTGGAAAATATCGTGGGAGTTGGCGTATGCACTGTGTACTCGTGTGTGGAGCGGAGCATTTGTTGAGTCGTCATCTCCAGGTCTTAAATTGTCCACCAACTGATTGTTTTCTTCGACTTCGTGTGGAATGATGGAAGATTTCTCGGCAACAACTAGCTTGACCGATTGTCTACTGGTAACGTAACGTTGTTGCCACTACGTTGAGATTGAAACGCTCCCGTGCGTACGTTCGCTGGCTTTCGCCTCGTTGTCGATAAGTGACTGCGTGGTCCGAGTGTGATGGCACGTAGTGTAGGCGGGACCGGCAGTCCAACGCACGCACTGAACACACGATTCACCAACGCAAGGAACCTCTTGTCCGGCGCAACCCTTGACTGTCTCGTCCGGCAACGGTCAAAACTCACGCTTCCGATGTGTCGTTCTCCTGTGCTCCTCCAATCAAGGAACCGCCGCGTGTGGCCAAGCGCCACCATAACGTCTTGAATTCAACGAACCCTAGAAACTCTAAAGCGGAGTGTTCTCTACTACCGTAGTTGCATAAGATGACACCCCCCAGAGGGACCGATTTTCAAAGCTTCATTACTCGAAAGGGAAAGCAGTGACGGTGCCGAAAATGGCGGAGTTGGAATCGTCGTGTTCGAGGTATTTCCAAACACGTATCGTTTGCCCTTTCGGCACCCCCTTGGTCGTGGAGTTTTCGAGCTTTGGAAATCGGTCCCGTGGTTGTGGTATCTTACGTAACCTGTGGTATGCTGTTTTGCATCACAACCGCCGCGCGCCGCGTAGAACCCCTTGATGTTTTTCGCCTCGTGTTTCGACATGGGTCCCGCCGAGGACGTCGACAAAATATGTCGTCGTGCTTTTATGGAAAGGCGGTTGGTTGGGTCACCTTGTTCTTCTATTAGTCCAATGAGAATCAGATTCCGTTGTCTGCACGGCTGCTGCCATGGAAAAAGGAAGATTGGTGCGTGTAGTGAGTGATGTACCGCGCTGGCGTACAAGGCAGTCAAGAACCCGAATCGATTTATCGGGTATCGTGGAGAAAGCTCGTGTGCCGTCTTCGAATGTTCTAAAGATTGTGTTGGCGAGTACGGGAGCTTTTCGAACAGGGGGAAGGCCGGTATCAATCGGTCATCCCACAACGGGTTCCAATTCTATTTGACGAGGTTTCGAGTGCTTTCCACCTGCACTCCACTAACTTCCCAGTGGTTATAGTCCGCACACCGTGACCTCTACCAGCAGCAGCTCGTGTTATGTACTGACAGCGACCACAAGAGAGATGCATACCTTGTGTCTTGCAAAACAATCTAGACTACAGTAGGGTCGTACTGACCGAAAGCGCCAAGTCCGGACCGAAAATCGTGTTACATGGTATACGCGGCACGCCGACTTCCAAAACTGCATGATGTGGGGCGAACTCGTGGCCCCGACAGAGGGCAGGTGGGGTAGGACCACCAGCCAGAAAATGCTCAACATCGTCGAGAACATGCCCAACCTCTCTGGTAAGCGTGTGGTCTAGGTCGTCGGAACTCAAATGGCACGATCCAATACGTGAAATACACTTGTCTACAAGAATTTACACCAAGGTAGGGTGATATGGACAATACGCCCACATGACGCACTCAACTTTATGGGCAACCACAGTCGGCACGGACGCGTTCAATGTGTCTCGGCATCTCTACACTACCGCACACTAGTCAATGGAACCCTCAAGTGAGTCTGAGTGGCAGATACCGCTCCAATTTTCTCGCAAACCAGCTAGCCAGATACACAATAGCGGCGGAGTCGAGCATCGCGAGCGCCTTTAAAACAGGAAACCTCTGGAAAATAGCTTGCTACTCTACGGGACGCTATGTAGTTTGCTCACAACAAACAACACGCACAAAAACGCGCGCACCCAGCCTGCCGTCGCCACTCTGACAGCTCTGGTCCCTCTACCACAAACCTTACGGAGACCCTCAGGAGGCAACGCTATCAGCAAGCACCTTCCCACCTGTTTACATGTTCCGCAGAGGGGAGAACCCGAGCATGTTTGCTAAGGCAAAACACGACATATCAAGAAGAAGGGTCGGCAGCGCCGGCACCAGCACCGGCGAGCTCGCGCACGGCCCTGACCACGCTTGCCACCGACGCGACCCTGCCGAAGATGCCCCCCTGAGCCATGACCATGGACAGGCCCACCCTGTGGAACTCCGGAAAGAAGGAGGAGCACGCCTCGTCGACCACGACACAGGCGAAGCCTCGGTCGTTAGCCTCTCGCACGGTGGTATGTACGCAGACCTATGTATGCCATGTATTGTCCAAAATTTACAACATGGAGCGCAGCAAGAAATCCAACGTATAGTCTAGTCAGCCAGCAGCAGCGGGCCTACTCAAATGTATGTAGCAACACATTACAACATGGAGCGCAGCGAGAAATACAAGCCCGCACTTATGGCGCGTAGTCAGCCAGCAGCATCACCTGCATGACAAAACGTGGCATGTGTCGGTAGGGGTCCAACAACTGTGCACGCAGCATGCGAGGAGAAAGCACAAACCCACAATGGAGGTGATCCATGGGTCATCAAAATTAATGTCTGATTTCTGGAGGGTGTGGCCTTGTAGGGTAAGTCGATCCCGCACCGATCGTGTTAGGTAAAGGGCTAACTCAGGAGTCCAATGGACAAGCCATTATCTGACATATCCCCCCCCCGTCCTCGCATCGCCTGCATCGCACGCCTCGCTCAAGGAATGCCTCGATGACCTCAAGAACTGCTTTGCCAGGGTCCGTCACAGAAGGGTGCTACTTTCTGACACTGTCAGGGGAAAGGGAGGACAATACCAAAATATGCCCGCCGCAACACGCCGCCACCACCCGGTGCTCACCTCGGTGGTAACGCCGCAAACAATCAGAGTCTCTATCCCGCGAGACCGCAATATTGTTTCGAGGTCGGTGGAAAAGAACGCCCCCTTGCCGGGCTTGTCGACGCACGGTTCCATCGGCAGGGGGTATCTGTGTTTTACACGTTTTGTTTTCGGTGCGATTGGAGTGCAGGCAAAAGGTGGAGGGGGGTTGTGTGTGTTCGCCGTACACGGTGTAGACGAAAGCAAGTAGGGACGTGTTGGTGTGATCTTACATGACCCGTCATGTCTAGCGAAAAATATTTGTTTTGCGTCCATCCCGTGTGTTCTCGGCTACCAGCGCTTTCATCTTGGTGCCACTGGCTACCGGTGTTGCTCAATTTTGGCGATAGTCCTGCAGAGAGCTTCCGAGCACGTGAGGGCCTGGTACATATACTGTCTAGGGGTAGGGCCTACTTGTTGCCTTTGAAGGACGGCGTGGTTCACTTTGTTTCACCATCGTAATTCATTTTGTGTCAATGTGTAAAGCCCTGGTCGTTCCTTGAGAGCATGGGGTGGGGTTTAGCGTGATGGGTGGACGAAATCGGTCACGGGCACTCCAACTTCGTAGGGCTGCAAACAAAACTTCGACAGGGAGGGGCGTTTCCACTTGAAGGTAGCAATGGGAGCGTGACTCATCTTTTTCACTACGAGGCTTTACTTCCATCTCCTTCCCGTTACTGTTGTCTGCCATGTCCTGCCTTCCGCGGGCGCGTTGGTTCTTCCTGTGGCCTAAAGTTCTTTAACCTGCAAGGTGGCAGGGCGTTCTTCACTGCATCTATCTACAATACTTTTGGGCAACTCACAACTCAGGGATGATGTCGTGCCCTCTCTCCCCCCTCACGAGGATGCGCCCCATTGGGCCAAGGTCACCGATCCTCTTACCCTCTGGACTCTGCATTAACTTGTGCCTGCTCCGTGATTTACACCGCAAACACGAACAACAAAAGGAAACATGGCGGGCGCGGACGAATTAGGTAGGTGGAGAAGGGCCGCAGCGGCGGCGGCCATGTTTCAGAGTTGGCACGGGGGGGGGTACAATTTGTTGCCTTGTGCCATGAAGAGGGAAGGGAAAAAATACGGCGGAGCCTGCTGCTACGGACAACCTTCTCCTATTCATACCATGCCTTCAGTCTCTGATGGCCGCTGAGCTGCTTGGCACACCATATGTCGTAGACCCCGGAAGAACCGCACTCATACGGTTGACCGCTCGGTACCTCGACGACTACAAGCCTGGCGTCCATTTTCCGACCAGCAGCAGCAACTTTCTCAAAGTCCAACTTTGCCGGGAGTACGGCATGAGCCCGGTTTTCACCGGTAGACTCTCGCCTCCGCTACTGAAATGACGCCCAGCCGCGTGCCACAAGTCTGTACAGGACACCCGGGACAAAGCTACGGGATCGCTTTCAGAACTCAGCGATCATATTATCGTTCGTAGGGCCACGTCCCCTGGATCACTTTCAAAGGTCGAACATTATAGAGCAGCAGTGGCGTAAAAAAAGGCGGCGTTGGAGCAGGCTCCAGTCGAGAGCTTCCGAAGACGTGGTATTATTTTGTTTGTTGTTACCGTGCATCCGTTTCGTCGTGGAGTAGTCTACTCGAGCTTTGAAAATCGGCTCAGTGGGTGGGTGTGGCATCATTTTTCAGCTGTGGTAGGTGATTCGTTCATTTGCTCTAAGTTATTATTGCTAGGAATGTCTTCGTCGTCAACCATTTTACTGGCTATTAGTGTGATATCTATTTTCATTATGTTGTTGTTCCTGCATTTTTGAAAGATAAAATCCATCTGCATGTGTATGCAGACATGTACATACTGCTGCAACTCAAACTCTGAACAATGGTTCACGTTACCTTCACCTACGACATCATGTAACGATGGATGCAGGCCTTCATAGGAACAACAAGCCGGACATCCGCGGACTTTCCGCTGGGCCTTGACGATGAAGAATGTTCACAACGCACCTCACTCGACGCGACACACACACGCACCAGGGCCAATCGGTTGGGATCTCTGCAACAACGATAGTAATGAGGGTACTTCTTTGGGGAGTGACGGAAACGAAGGAAATGAGCGTGAAGAAAGGAGGATGACGACGACGATGGAGGAGGGAAACATGGAGGAGGAGTGGGAGAGAGCATACGGTTTGAGCCAGATGACCTTCCCCAAAACAAAAAATGCAGGGCTAGGGAAGAACTGCCCAGAGATTGTTGTCAAAATGATGATGGGAATGATGGTAGCGAGAACAAGGAGGATTATGGTGAAAGTACCCCCAAACGAACTAGAGTACAAGGTATGGTAGACGCGAGCAGTTTTCGTTTGTTCCTACCGCTTCTGTCTTTGGTCCGACGGATAGTTTAGCCTCCACCATGTTGCCCCCTCACGGGGTCCCAGTTCATGGCAGATAGAAGTGTTTTGTGTTTTCAAAAGCACTAAGACTGACGCTTTTTCATTGGTCAGCCGGTTAGCGCGGTCGATGCCACTGTAATATTGAATACACACGCAATTTATTGCGGATCATGTCTGTGTGCCTTGTGCCCCCCACCGACCTTCTGGACAGGTATTACGTTTTCAATCCTTAACTAGCTCCACCGTATTAACCTCTGTGCCGTGAAAGCTCGCACGATACGTCCCGTTTCCATGTTCCCATGGTGCACGACAACGATCGGACGAGTCTGTTGTATCCCGATACGATTTGAAGCCCTTCTACTGTGCTGCTGCGCTGCTCTGTAAAAACACGCCTACTGGCACTGAACGTGTGTGTATAGGCGCGCGACTGCTGTGCCACCGCTGCTGCGGAGTATGCCTGCTCTCCTGCATGGCAACCATCTCACCGCAGGCCTACGCATGCATGCGTGCACGTGGCTTCCTATTCTTTGCCAGTGATGTCTACTTCGGTGCACCTTGCAAAGAAACTGTTCGGCGCAGTTTTCTTATCGAACTGTACATACATGTGATCGACTCAATAAGTCGCGAGGGAAGGGATTGCTGTTTCCTTCTCGCGATAAAAATATCTCAGGCAGGAACCGCAGGAGGGGGCCAACCCCCCCCTCCTATGTGACCCCGGTTGGGTCGTCTAGCTTGTAGAAGTGGAGGATAGGGGCCAGAGGGGCAGACGACAGAGTCCAATGATGGGAGACAAAATAATAAATAAAAATGTAGACTACACAACATTTACATACAACTCAGATCTCATCTCCGACAATATACCCAGATCTCTCAAATTGACCATACCGCCTTTTACTTTTTTTGTACAACCTATGAACGTCAACCGCTATCTTACTTCATACCCAGATCTTTCCAATTGACCACACCGCCAATTATCTACTTTTTGTATAACCTATGACCGACAACTGCTATTTTCTGTCTTGTCACTCTACAAGTTTAATTAAAAGTTTTGAAATTATTTGCGACGACATTTTTCCGCAAATGAATGCATCTGATTTCTCGCAATACCACGTCAGGTACATAAGTTGAGATTCCGACGACTTCGATCCACCAAAGACGCTGAGACACCCAGTAATTTTTAGACGCCGCCGGCGTGCACAACGCACCACCATTCGACAGTATTTTTTGTCCCTGCTGCTACCACTGCTGTGCACGTGTACACAAAGAGACGAACAAAAATAATCCAAGGAATCAATCGATGCGACATTATTTTGGTGACATGATTAAAAATTCCACCGTGTGTTCTCACGTCGCCCAAAATACGCTGCATTTGTACAGTTGTCAGCACACGAAGAGAACCTTTTTCCAATATCATTCTGTGTCTGGATGACTTCCTGTGCAAGTGGCGGTATTTTTCAGGGCCCGCCGCCCTCACGGCGGGGGGGTCCTCTACGTGCCCTAGTTATATTTATAGAAATAACAGCCTATCGTCTACAGCAGGGTAGATAAAAGCACACAAGAACGATACCCGGTCGTTTCTCCGACTGCGACATCTCCCCAAAAAATGTTGGAAAAATCAAATAACGTTCCCGACAGTTAGACTACATCCCCCACGTCTACAGCAGTACGATTCGATACATACATGGGCGACGACGTCACTGCGACGCAGCATTATATTTCCATGCTATTGATGTCTTAAAGAGGAGATGTCACCCAATGACATGGAGGTTCGCGCGGGAAATGATGTATCCCGAGGAGGACGACGACATCGTTCGCCCTGGGCTGTTGACGTCATATAGTCTTGGCCGTCGAGCCACACGGGGGGGGGGAATATTATTTCACGTGGCTTTACTGCCATCGTTACTGCTGCGAATTGAACGGCAACGACCACGTCAACCACATAACGGTTAAGCGTGCAGTCGCACCTGGGTAGATCCGAGAGATCTGGCCTGTGGCCCTCGCGGGTGTGGCAGACGAGCAGGCCCGGGCAGGCCCTGCAGGCGCTGAGCACCTGAGAACACGGCGCGATGGCCGTCCGCAGGACGGAGACGTCGTTGCCGAGGGACTCTCCAAAGCCTCCCGGCTCGAGGAAATCTCGCTGCATGTCGATAACGAGTAGAGCCGTCGTCGTGGCGGTGATGGCGGTGGGGCTCGGCTCCGCGTCAATGCTTGCTTCTGCTGCTGGTGACATCTTGAGCAAAAAATGATGCAGGAGCTAGCGGTAGTAGCGTTGAAGGAGAGGTGACTCCTCCGTCCTCCCAAGAGATCACCACCGCGGGCTCCAACCACCTTACGTTCCCGTGTTTTCAACAGCCTGTGTGTCCTGTCGTGTCCCGAAGCAGAGGCCGCAGTGCAGCAGTGCTAGTGGTTGATGACAAACATCGTGCATCCAGCATGCAGAATATTTTCCATCCCGGTGCTGTTGGAATTGACCAATGAAAACGCAAGCAACCCCCACCTCGGTGGCTGACTCCTCGTGCATGCTTGCATGAATCATGATTGCTGCAGCAGTACAGCAGCACAGCTGAAGGTTTTGATACGTTGACATATACCCTGTGGGTTGATGCATGGAGGGATCGAGGGATGGACGAACCAGGTTGCAAAGGTTTCATGCACAGCACACATTCGCGCAATCCGCGGGAGCGAGGCCGGGTGTCTCTTCGTCTTCCCTGCAGGAGCTGCAATCTCATACACAGCAGTGGAGGTCCCTCGCTTTACTAGTGCCGGTTGCCGGAATAGTGGCGGCGTTTTCGGTGGGCACACCCTCTTTCAACCAACTCATCCCGTATTTTGAATTGTGCTGTTGTCCGATAAGGTGCCGGTCAATTTTTTGGGAAATACCGGTCTCAGAAGTCTCAGAAGTCTCAGAAGCAATTATTTTTTTGCTGCTGCTGGTAGATGCTACTGGTGTCCGTTTCTTCCGTAGACTGGGGGTTTCTTAGCAAGCACCTGCTGCGTCGACATGCAATTTCTGCAGTACTTCACACGCCTGCTTTATTTGTGATGGCACACATGATGAGCGAAGGACACACCGCCCATTACTGCTGCACATGCATGGATCCATCTCCGAAATAGTACTACTTACCGCAGAAGCACAACGAAGGACCTGGAAGAAAGCTATAATACACGTTCGCGTGGGTGACTTGTACATAGCCCAGAGGGCTCATCGTGCCACTGAGCACAACGTACCATGGATGCGACGGTTGGAAAAGGGTAGCGAGATACTCAAAAGTAAAAAGAGAGAGTAGAGAGAGAGGGAGGGAGGGGGGGAGAGGTATACCCGTGCACCCCTATGTCCCTCATCCCTTGCTCATCCGTATCTAGAAACGATCTTGGGCGGGTTCCAAGCAAAAGCCGGCCGCCAACTCGACATGATCTTGTTTCTTCGCCAGGCCGATGTTGTTGCCCTGTAAACACGGCGGAGAACACTTCCCCTTGGTCGAATAAGGGGGGTAGAACCACCCAGAAACTTGTTCCTGGAGGGTCTTGTTTTCACTGATAGGGAGCCAGAGTGCATCCAGGAAGGTCATCCACGTCTGTGTACACCCAACGACGGGGCCTACCTGGGGGATCGTTGCTCGAACGGACGGAGTGAGGCACACAGACACAAGCAACGCCCCCCAAGAGACTACTCAAAAGGAAAGGGAGCGACAAAGCAGCTGCAGCATGCTTCCGCTGCGCCTCTTCGGCTCAAAAAACTCTTGCGCTTACTCAGCAATCGACACACAGCAGGTTTGGGAACGGTCCTCGTTTTACGGAAAGCAACAACATGACGGTGTAACTGCCAAGCAAGACTACGCCGATCATCTGGCCAGGAGCCCCCTGACCCGCCGTTCCCTGGGGAGCTACAATAACGTGCTTCACCGCTAGAACATCGCTGTCCACTCACGCGCGAAGGTTGGAGACAACATCATCAGCCTCGTCCACCCACATGCATCTGCAACGCCGCGACCACAGCGACTGCGTCTGTGCAGGGGAACTCTCCCACTGGATAAACACAAGAGTGGACGGTGCACGACACAGCCACTACAGAGCTAGCTCTACACGGACGGATTCGCACACACACCGAGAAATAGCAAACAGGAGCTCGAAGTACGGCAGTGCCCCACACTCAACCAACAGGGGCGGCGGAACGGGATGGACCCGCCAACGAATAGTGGGCAACATAATGTCAAGTGATTGTGGTCCATCAAAGAACAGCAGTACCCACACAGTTGTAGTCCAGCATTCGTCTTGCGTCTCTAAAGCAAGGACGCAAAAAGAACAGCAAAGGCCACAGGATCAAGCGTACACGCGACAATTTCCTTCAACACGAAGAACGCGCCACCGCATAGTAAGCCGAGCGAGAAAAAATTCAGCCAAAACCAAAGAGGGCAACCACAAGAACAAGTGCTCCGTCAAGAAGCCCACACTTAGCCTATAGACTATAGCCGGTGTCGGGTTATAACCTTCCATCGAGAAAAGAGAAATCGAGCCTCTGGGGCAACCCTATGTGGCAGACGTGTTCAGGTGGCGACGCGCACTTTTCACCAAGCGCTTTTGCTGCGCCGTCGTTGTTCCGGCTCTCCCGATCATCGAGCCCCGACCTTTTCTCTCCCCGCGGGAAACGCGCATCCTCAACTTCTCGAAAACCTTCGAACACGTAGGGGTAGGTTCGTCCTCAAATCCTGTGGAGATAAGGGGGGG